GTCCTTTGGTCCAAGGGGCAGCGCTACGTGACCAACCTGGCAGCACTCCAGCTGCTCTGCTCCCTGCTTCCCCGATTCAGCTGCTGGTCAGTTTCAGCAGCAGATGAATGGGGGAAGCCTGTCCAGCTGCCCCAGCACTTACGGGTTCCTGATGGTGCCGGACCATTAGGAGTCCCGGAGCATTGGATGCCGGACTAATGGAGTTTTACTGTAAATTCAAAATAAAGGGCTTCTTACTCTGACTCCTGTAACCCTCATTGTATCGGAAGAATGCTCTATTTTGAAATAACTGCTATATAGACATCACCAAATATCGAAATAAGCTATTTTGACTTAAGCTACACAATTAGCATAGCTTAAATTCCATATCTTATTTTGAGCTTAGTCCTGCTGTGTAGATGTGCACACACTCATGTGCATGTGTGCACACACACACAAACACACACACACAAAGTAGATAATCTAATCCTACTATAGAAAAAGAAAGGGTAGATTGGTAGAGGCCCTGGAGGTTTTTCACCTTCCTCTGTAGAATGGGGCACAGATCACAGCTGGAGGATTCTTTGCATCTTGGGGTCTTTAAACTATTTGAAGGCTTCAATATCTGAGGTATAGGTGAGAGGATTATTCCAGAAGTGGGTGGATGAGATCCTGTGGCCTGGGTTGTGCAGGGGGTCAGACTAGATGATCATAATGATACCTTCTGCACTTAAAGTCTATGAGTCTATGAGTCTATGAAAGAAAAAATAAAGAGAGACAGTTAAATAACTGGGAGGTGCTACACTGATGGGAACCATATAAAGACATGAAAGGAAGCAGGAGAGGAGTCTTGGTCTCAGTGTTAAGAGTGCCACAGTGTTAGCTTGAGTCAACTTGTATTTTTCATATTTGAGGCATGGGACAGGGATTGTGTCTTCCTCTTTTTGTCACACAGTGCTGCACATCCGAATGATGCTTTAAAAATGATAACGCTGATAATATGCAAATTATGAGGGGTTCCAACATACAGTTTTACCAGAAAATACTGAACAGAAATGTGCAATATATCCAGTAGATTATCTAAATCATTTTGATAAACAGACTTAATCAAGCACAAATATTATTAATAGATATAAATGTTCATATAATAAAATCTATTAAAGCTGTTACCTTTTCAGGAACAACACTTTTGCCATCCCATGCATAACCTCTCTTTGTGAAGTAGTTCACTGTTGCAAATTCAATGAGTGCTGAAAACACAAATGCATAGCACACTGCTATGAACCAATCCATAGCAGTGGCATAGGCCACCTTTGGAAGGGAATTTCTTGCACTGATGCTCAAAGTGGTCATTGTGAGGACAGTTGTAACACCTGTGAAGCAAGAACATCAGCATTTTTATCTCAGTTATTATATTTTTTATTTATCAACATGGATTCACAAATGAAACACAAATTTTGTTAATAGAAATATGTTTTCCAACCAAAGAATATTAAATTTCAAGTTACAATAATAATCTTCTGTCTTGATCATTTAACATGTGGAAGTGAGGTTTGTGCATTAGGAGACATCGTTGCTGCAACAGACGAGGAGTGCGTTGGGCAGGGGTGGACAAAAGGGCCTCCGTGGGCTGGTTCCAGCCCACCAAGTGGGTTGATCCAGCTGGTGGAGGCCCTGCCACTCCTCTGCCCCCAGGCTAATCAGGGCCTAGGGTCCGGGGAGCATTCGACACTTAGAGTCAACCCCGGAGGTTGATTCTAAGCCCTGTGCAACCAAGGGCAGGGCAGGGAGCGAGAGACTTCATACTCCCCCTGCCTCCCGGCCAATCAGGGGCATTCAAAGTCTCCTCCTGCCCTGCTCCCATCCTGCAGGGAGCATGCAACACTCTGATTGGCCTGGGGGAGAAGGGCAGGGTGGGAGGAGACTTCTAGTGCTTGCCCCCACCCCCAAGCCCTGATTGGCTGGGTGGCGGAGGGAAGTTTGTGAAGTCTCCTCCCACCGACAGAGGCACAGGCACCTAGAGGGAACTGCCACTTGTTCAGAACAGCTGGTGGGGGATGTTGGGGGCAAACACTTCACATGCTCACCCACTCCCAGACCAATCAGGATATGTGGGCGGGGAAGAATGAAGGGCCTGAGGCCTCACCCCTTCTGAAGCCGCACCCCTTCTGGGGTGGCCCGGGGCCACTTCAAAAATTTCTGAAGTGGCCCCTGGTCAAAAATTATTGCCCACTTCTGGTGTTGGGTAAGTGGCATTGTTTGCATTGACCACAATCAAGTAAAAGAGACTAGGAGTCCTGTGGCACCTTATAGACTAACAGATTTATTGGAGCATAAGTTTTTGTGGGCAAAGGCCCACTTCGTCAGATGCATCTCTTTATGCTCCAATAAATATGTTAATCTATAAGGTGCCACAGGACTCCTCGTCACTTTTGCAGAATCAGACAAACATGGCTACTCCCCTGATACTTGACACAGTCAAGTAGTTGTCAGTTTTATTATCTGGCCTTTTCAGATATCTGTGTATTTTCACTAGTGCTCAGTAAAGTGGTTATAAACTGTAGCGGTGTTTTAGTACATGACATTGTCTGCAGTTGTCAAGATAACTTGCAAATTTGTGATTTGATATAAATGTCCAGCTTGAACTGGGACAACTTAGAAATCAAGCAGATAACAGTGGAAAGATAATGTGACTTTGTATGTAAGAGGGACAAATGTGTTTTTTCAGTGTTACTGATAATACTGATAATCTTTTGCTGAACCATCTAACATGAGATATATGTGCTTCTTTTAGGCAGGAGTTTGGACACTATATCTCAGAATATATACAGTATATACAAGAAGTCCATGTAGTCATGCATCCTGTCTGTGATGGTAGACAGTTCAGCAATGCTTCAGATGAAGACAAAATTAAAACATGAGGCACCCACCCAGGGGCAGATGACCGTTTTGCGGGGCCCCGGGCAGCATAATTTCGCAGGGCCCCCCTTTGCCACGGCGCATGCGCGGGGCTTTTTGAAGCGCGGAGCCCGGTGCGGCCACCCCGTTCGCCCTGCCCTATATCCGTCCCTGCACCCACCTAAATTCCTTCCTGACCCTCAAAATTAAGCAGATTATGTCCCACAACATGAGATTAGATATACTATTTACGTAGACTGGACATAAATTCAGTGATTGACTAACATTTCAAAAACATTATTTTTAAATGAGACTTAATGATCATCCCAACAAAATTAATGAAACTGGAAGAAGAATGTCACCTAATCCCAATAGTTGTCTGGACTTATTGAATAACGTAATTTCCTTGTCCAGAAGAATTAGAGAAGGAGTTAATTTATGTCCCAATTCTGTTCTCACCTAACATTTTAGTAATCATGTAAGTTGCAAGTCTTTTTTCCATCTTGCCAATTATTTAATTTCATATCATAATAATGATAAAACAACTCACAATTATGTAAACTTCAGCTAGGTGTTGGATGCTGTCTATCTTATTTGTATAAGGGTTTTACTGTGCTGTATTTCCCACAAAAACAAAGGATATTAATTGTTTTTATTGCTGATTAACCTGTTTGGGGCTGAACGAAGTAGCAGGCATATTTGGAAAATATGTTACTCCACAATAACCCAAAATAGACTATGGTGCATGTTATGATACTGCATTTAGTTGAACTAATGTTTTGTACAGGTTTCTGTGCCATCACACAATGATGCTTTGGTAATAGTAAAGATAATGTAAAGTAAAGTAAAATATAATGATAATATAATTTGCATTTCTAGTAACAGAACTTTTAATTGACAGTAGGGAGATTGCATTACTATCACAGATTTTTTAAAAGTGAAAGCTGGACATTTACATCAAATCACATATTCACAAGTTATCTTGACAAATGAAAAAAATTTCATATACTAAATCACTGCTACAGTTTATAAACACTGTATTGGGTATTAGTAAAAATATGCAGACATCTGAAAGATACTAAGGACAATATCTTGAATTTTATTCAATATCTTGAATATTATTGGAACCTAATGATGTTGTGGTTTTTGATCCTACAAGGAATTTATAAGATCTTATTCCACTTATGACTAATGAGCTTTTGTTGCTGTTATATAGTAAATCCTGCTATGCTGCAGTTTGTGTTTTTACTAATTGTGCTAAAAGAGTGCTATAAATCTATATATAGAATAATAGTATCATAGAATCATAGGGTTGGAACAGGCCTCAGGAGGTCATTGAGTCAAACCCCCTGCTTAAAGCAGGACTAATCCCAACTAAATCATCCCAGCCAGGGCTTTGTCATGATGGTACTTAAAAACCTGTAGGGATAGAGATTCCACCACCACCCAAGGTAGGCCATTCCATTGTTTCATCACACTCCTAAGTGAAATAATTTTTCATAATATCCAACCTTGATCTACCTCACTACAACTTGAGACCATTGCTCCTCGGTCTATCATCTGTCATCACAAAAAACAGCCTCTCTCCAGCCTCTCTGGAACTCCCTTTAAGGCAGTTGAAGAATGCTATCAAATTCCTCCTCACTCTTCTCTTCTACAGACTAAGCAAGCCCAAATCTCTCAGCCTCTCCTCATAAATCATGTGCTTCAGTCCCCTACTCATTTTCTGTACTGAGCTTCTCTGTGTGAATGCATGTATGAATATTCTCACATAAAATATTCAGAGACATTTTTTTCACAGTGAAGTTAGGAAATTAAAAAATAGAATTTAAGAATTGGTTCAAACATATGTAAAAATACACACGTAATCAGCAAAATAATTATATTCTAAAAAGAAGACTATTAAAATGTTTACATTCTTAAAGAAGTGTCAGAAGGCTTAAAAGAGCTGCATAAAAAATGGAGTATAATATCAGAGAGGTGTTAGTCTGTTTCAGTAAAAGAATGAGAAGTCCTGTGGCATGTTAAAGACTAGCTAATTTATTTGAGCATAAGTTTTTGTGTGCTGCAGAGCTAGCCAGATACCCAGAAGTCACCTACTACAGGACCGACCCAACAGAGAAAAGAACAGAACGGAATGACACTAGCAATTATCTACAGCTCCCAGGTAAAACCACTCCAGCGCATCCTCAAGGATCTACAATTCATCCTAGTTGATAATCTCTCACCCTTAAAGACCTTGGTAGGCAGGCCATTCCTTTCCTACAGACAGCCCCCCACTACACACTACACAACAGGAACACTAACCTAGGAAAAAATCCCTGCAAGAAACTGTGTTGCCAACTCTGTCCACATATCTATCTTAGTGATATCATAGGAACTAACCACATCAGTCACTCTATTGGAGCTCATTCATCTGCATATCTACTAATATGATGTGCTGGCAATGTCTCTCTGCCATGTACATTGGTCAAACCGGGCTAGTCTCTATGCAAAAGAATAAATGGACACAAATCAGATATCAAGAATGGTAACATTCAAAAACAAGTCAGAGAACACTTTGATCTTCCTTGACATTCATAACAGACCTGAAAATTGCCATACTTTATTTTAAAAAACCTTCAAAAACAGACTGCAGCGTGTAATTCAGAGCTCAAATTCATATGAATGTTGACACCATCAGACTGGGTTTGAAAGGGTCTTGGGATTATTAAAAATGATAATTTTCATCCTTTTGGTATTCTCACTTTCTTATCAACTATTGGCAGTGGGCCACATCCATCCTGATTGAATTAGCCTTCTTAGCACTAGTCTTCCCCATAGTAATGTAACACTCCCATCTTTGTATGTATGTATAAATCCCTGCCAAACTGAAACTTCCACATCAGGCATACAAAGAAGTGGGCTGCAGCCCACAAAAACTTATGGCAAAGTAAATTTGTTACTCTTTAATGTGTCATAGGACTTTAATGTCCCAGCCTGATATTGAGCCATTGGTCACTTCCCATTGAGCCTGACAATCTAGCCAGCTTTCTATCCACTTTACTTTCCATGTATCCAACCTGTACTTCCTTAACTTGCTGGCAAAAATATTGTGGGAGACTATATCAAAAGCTTTGCTGAATCGAGGTACATCACATCCACCACCTTCCCCATATCCACAAAGCCAGTTACCTAGTTATAGAAGGCAATCAGGTTGGACAGGTACCCAGAAGTCACCTACTACAGGACCGACCGACATGGACTTGGTGAATCCATGCTGACTATTCCTGATCACTTTCCTTTCTTCCAAGTGCTTCAGAATGGATTCCTTGATAATCCCCTCCATGATCTTTCCAGGGACTGAGGTTAGGCTGACCTATCTTTATGTCTCTAGATTGTCCTTCTTCCCTTTTTTAAAGATGGGCACTACATTTGTCTTTTTCCAGTTGTCTGGGACCCTCTCCAATCGTCATGAGTTTTCACAGATAATGGCCAATGGCTCTGCAATCACATCAGACAACTTCCTCAGCGTCCTCAGATGCATTAGACCTAGCCCCATGGATCTGTGCATGTCCAACTTTTCTTTGTTAACATTAAAATGCAGTGTTTTTGCTGTGACTAATCTCTACATGTTTTTTGGAACCCCCTACTTTGTCATGCTCTTGCACTATGTTGAGAGGAAAAATTGCTGCAGAAATGAGGTTTGTTGGATTTATGCACTTCCACTCCTGCCAGAAGCATTCTCAACTGTATAGTTATTACTTGAACAACACAGAATGAGCTGGAGCATATTGGAGAAATCTCACTCCCCTTCTTCTGTAATCCTCTAGGAGTGAGCAGGAGTGGGTCTGGGCATGGCATCAAGGCAGGCAGGAGCTTAAGCCATGGTTTACTGGTGATGAGCAAATGAAGGTTTACTGCAGAGGCATCAGTTGTTTCTCCTGTTTCATCCAGGTTGCCATGTGAGATATCAGTCTTCTCCAAATCACACAGAGGGAGCTGATTCTGACAGAATGTTGCCAGAAACCTGAACCTTATGCTGCAAATCTTTGTGCTGCAATAATGCCAGACCACTTACTGGCAGGCCTCCACAGAGACTCTGTGAGATGGATTAAAGTATTCCTCTATGAGAGCTTTATGTAGATGAGCTGGAAGGATTCCCACTCTGTCTCCAGACTCATTAACAAGCTGTTTGGGGGATGCACAAATCACAGCCAATTGCCTTACTTTAAGTAAGATTAAAAAAACGTGAGCTCACCAGAAGTGCCCTCCCCAGGATCAGTGTCCAACGGTGAGATGTCCTGGGAGGAGGGGATTGAAACCAAATTATACAAAATTTGTGGCTGTCAGTAACATCTGTTGCTCCACTCATCTGTTGACCATCCTCCTCCTCCTCTTTCTCATTCATGCTGTCCTCCACAGTGCTGTCCAAGGTTGCTTGAGGAGTGTCTTGGGAAGAATGCATGGACTGCCTAGGGAAGCTGGTTGAGTCCCCCCAAGGATTGTGTGCAGCTGCTTATTGAAGTGGCATGTTTGCAGTGATGCTTCAGACTGTCCATTTGCCTGCTTTGTCTTTTCATATAACTGCCTCAGCTCCTTTATTTTCACTCAGCACTGCTGGTGTTCCTGGCATATCCTTTCTCCTTAATGCCCTTTGCAATCTTGGCATAGATATACACATTTCTTTTCATAGTACTGTGAGAACAGATTTCTATATCCACACAGCAGTGAGGCCCAGGATCTCCCGAATGCTACATATTGGTGCTCCTCTGTGACCCTGGGAACTCATGAAACTGATTGAACTCATCGTCAGCTGTGCTGCTCAAGTGTGCTGCTCACTTTGAGGTGTGCTCACCATGCTAGCCACACAGGAAATTAACGTTCAAATTTTCCCGGGACTTTTCTTGTTCATCTGGGGAGTAGTAGAGTTGAAACTCCTGGCCTGATTGGTCACCACCGAGCATTGTAGGACACATCACAGAGGCCAAGAATATTGACTTTTACAGCACTGTGTCTGCACTACCGTAAAGTCAACCATGCAAGACTGAATTTAGCATTGCTCATCGTGAAAAGCAGGAGTATTGAAATCAGATTTAATAGTCCTTAAAGTTGAAGAATGGACCTGATGATGTGAACACATTGTTTAGAAAATCGACCTAATGCAGCTAAATTTGACCTAATCTCACAGTGTAGAACAGACCTCAGAGACCCTTCCATTCATCCCTGCCTGAATCCTATTCAGAGAGAAGTGATTAAGAATTTGTATCACTAATTTCTGTAGCTGCCCTGGGCTATAAGGTCATTTGAAGATCTAGCAGATAAGATCAACCCACAGATTTATTAAAGCTGGGATTTTCATTGGGCCACAAGATCATTTGAGGAGCTAGCAAGTTGAGATCAACCCACAGAGTTATTAAAGTTGGGAGTTTCAAGTGGGACAAGAACCATGGGAAAAACTCCCTTTGAATAAATTATCTTTGAAAATCCAAGCCAAAAGCTGTATTAGTCATTTTACTGTAGAACTTCTCTAACATAATTCCATCTACTAGAAAAGCAATTTTAAAATTATCTGTGATGGAGAATCCACCATAGCCCTTGAAAAATTGTTTCAATAGTCAATTATACGCACAGTTAAAAAATTGTACCTCATTTTCAGCCAGTCTGAATTAGTCTAGCTTTAACTTCTAGCAATTGGGTAATGTTAGCTTTTTTTCTCTGTTAGACTAAAGAATGCCTTATTAATACCCCATATTGCTACTTTACAGACTGTAATCAGGTCACCCTTAACCTTATGTTTCTTAATCTATATTAAATAAGCTTCTTGAGTCTGTTGGTATAAGGCATGTTCAAAAGCTTCAGAGAGGTAGCCGAGTTAGTCTGTAATTGGAAAAACCAAAAAATAATGAATAGTCTAGCAGCACCTTAAAGACATGTAGATGGTATCATGAGCTTTCTTGGGCACAACCCATTTGTTCAGCTGAATGGATTATTAAAAGTCCAGTTCCAAAATAAATAGGGGATGGGGAAAGGAAGAAGGAAGGGGAAAAATAGCATATTAGAGTGTTCATGTTACATGAAGTTGATAGAAAAGATACAAATTGTTCTTAAGTACCCATTGTTTGGTTGGCTAAGTCATTAGGATGTGGAAGGTAATGTGCTAGCCAGGTAATGTCTTTATTCATACCTTTGTGATGGGTCCCAAACTTGTAAATGAAGTTAAGTTCCAATGCTTTCCCGTGTATTTGGCTTGTGGAATTTTCCTGAAACAACACAGTGACTTTGAGATCCATTAATGAGTGCCTAGGCAGGTTAAAGCATTCTCCAACAGGTTTTTGTGTGTTGCCTTTTCGGATATCTGATTTGTGTCTGTTAATTCTTTCCTATAAAGCCTCTCCAGTTTGGCCAATATACATGGCAGAGGGGCATTGCTGGCTTTTGATGGCATAGATAACATTAGTGGCTGTACAGTTAAATGAGCCTCTGATGTAATGGCTGATGTGGTTGGGTCCAGTGATGAGATCGCTTGTGTAGATGTGTGGACAGAGCTGGCACCAGGGCTGATTGCAGGGATGGTTCCTGGATGATTATGATGGAGGTGTGCTGCATGGTTACTGAAGAGAATTTATTTCATGATGCCATCTACATGTTTTGTTAGTCTTTAAGATGTTGCTAGACCATTCATTGCTTTTTTAGGTATAAGGCATGTTTTCTAATCCTTTCTTCATGTGGTTCTTCTTTGAACTTTCTCCAATTTATCAATATCCTTCACCAGTGTTGAATACTGAAGTAAAATAGTCTCTCTACGCCAACATGAGAGTCTTCTGTTTATGTATCCCAGGATCATGTTAGCTCTTTAGGCCCTGGCATCATGGTAAAAGCTCATATTCAGCTGATTATCCACCATGATCTCTAAATCCTATTCAGAATTACTGCTTTCCAGATCTGTGCCTTGGCTGGGGGAGAGCAGGTGAGCTGGCCCAGCAGGACAGGATGGTGAGAAGTCCCAGAGAACAAGGAGGAGGGTGTCAGTGGCTTTGTCAGCACTCTGGGAAGCACCCCCAAGGGGTCCTCTGTGACCTCACCCTGTCACACCTACAATCCAATCCCCTAGCCCAGGTCATAACTCTCTCCTTCACCCAAACTCCCTCTCAGACCCCACATCCTCTCCTGCAACCCAATCCGTTCCTGGAGCGCTTTTCTACACCTAACCTCGATCCCAGACCCTGTATCCCCTCTATAAAAAAGTGAAGCTCCTGACCACTTACCAAAATCTTGGAGTGGCCCCCGCCCCAAAAAAAATTATTGCCCAACCCTGGCCTACAGTCTTGTTCCTAGATGTATACATTTACATTTAGCAATATTAAGATATATGTAAGATAAACCTTTTGAATATTACTTTTCAGTTTTATATAAACAAAAATAGTTTAAGATGTTCAGATCTAAAGCCAGATTATCATCAAATTATTTTTTAATTTTGCATTGTTGTTCATAAATTTAGACCTTATAAAATAGTCTGTTGCATTATTTTCAAAGTGAAGCACATTTCTTATCCACTTCTACCATGTCACATATTAAAGTTAAAGTAAGAGTGCTTTACTATATGTAGAATATGACCCTGGCAAATTTTTGTTTTGTTTCACTTACCAAATACAGTTCTTGCTGGAACAGATTCTCTGTTAAGCCAGAAGGAAACCTGGGACAGTATCACTGTCATGATGCATGGCAGATATGTCTGAATGACAAAGTAACCTATCTTTCTCTTCAAATGGAAGTGGGTAGTCATAACAACATACTCCCCTAGAAACCAATAAAAATAAAACACAATGAGAGCCTTTGCCAAATGCATAGATTAAAATCTTGTGTCTGAGTTTGTGCATCAGTAATAATTTCTTTATAATTTTTATCCACTGTTATTACAAATTTTGTTTGAGACAAGTTTTGTTTAGCCTGAAGAAATTTTTAAATAATGAATTGAGGGTGTATAGGCCTTTCATCTCAAATTCAGCTACTTTGGGCAGCGAATAAAATTTAATGTCAAAGTAAGTGATTTAGTGTCCTTTGTGTAAAAATGGTTATGGTGGTTTTGCAACGTCCAAAATTTAAATGAAACCCGAAGACTGATGTTTTTCATTCATATCAGGCTTAGGACACAAGGATTAGTTATGTTTGTATTGCCATTACTTGTGTTCTGCCTGTTCTGAAAATAGAAGGCCACTTTCTACTTCTATTAATTTAGTACCTTTCAATAGTAATACTTTCCCTTAATGTAATTGGCTGATCAGTGAATTATGACAGAGTTCTGTCCATAACTAGCTTTTCTGAATATTGCAAAACCATACAGAAACAACATTTCTGTGGAATTTGTCACTATACAAAAAGGTTTATAAAAGCTTAGAAAAGATACATGTGGCTTTAAAACTGAATGAAACCCTCTTCCTAAACAGAAGGTGATGCATGAAATCACTGTGATTCTCTTTTAAAATATAAACAACTGGCAATAGAACTGGTAAAGGAAAATCCTAAACTGAATTGAAAAACTGTGTCTAAACATTAACTGCTTGCCCTTTTCCTCTAATTCAGATTCCAGAAGATCATTCATAGGAACATTCTTGTCCACATATAATAACCCCGAGGAAAGCTTATAAATAGCTTTATTTGATGTTTGAATACATAATAAAAGACAGTGGCGGTGGGGAAGGGTGGGGGGGAGAGAGTAAGAGCATTAGATATGAATTCAGAGGTAGAGGAAAGGGTATATGAAGAGAAAGACATCTCTAAAATAAGACTGGCAGGAGCATTTTCAAGTGAAAACTAAGTAAGATGATTGATGTGATCAAACCCCTTCTTTTTTTATCATCCATTTATCTTGGGTTTTTTGTTTTGTTTTGTTTTGTTTTTTCGGCCTGTCTCTTTTTTTTTAGCTAGCAAAGCCAGCAAAGAAGAATTAATCTAAAATATGACAGCAGGAGTTATTTTAATAAAATCAAATATAGAAAAATCAGAATGGTATGTAAGCATTAATTCATTGTGTGTGGAGTTCAAGCTAAGAAGGTCAAAGAGTTAACACATCATACTACTCTGAATACTTATTTGACTGCTTAAATTATCAACGTATTTTTGACCTGTGAAAAATGATAACACGATTCAAAGGAGATAGGAAATTTTAAAAGTCTGAGATTAATAATGGCTTGGTTAATACTGCAGTTGCTTTGAGCTAGTCAAAGGTAACACTACACAGCACTTATTTTGAAATAAATCACTATTCCAAAATGTCCCTTACTCTTCATGGAATAAGTTTTACAAGGACGTCGGAATAGCGAGCCTGTGATTTTTCAAAATAATGGGCACGCTCAAAAGACGCAGAATAGCTCTGGTATCCCAAAATAGTGGTACAGTGTAGACATAGCCTAAGTGACATATTGCAGATGACCACACAAACTGGCAATAATGCCTGCTATTAAGTTACAAAATAAAATCCTTTTAATTAATTCTGAATGAATCTAAAATACTAACCGATTGTAATCAATTATTAAAAGACAGCCTCTTTGAGAGTGGTTGATTTAATGGTGGGAAGTGTACTGCTCTTTTGCTACTCTCTGAACATCTGACTTCTTGAACATTTCAGACTTTTTTTTTTAACTGAAATGCATAGGGGCATCCACTACCCCTACTGTTCATTGAGCTTATCAGCCATTCCCATATAATTCTGTTTTCAGAAGTCTATAATTCAGGTCAAGTCTATAACCTCTAGTCCAAAAGTTTTATAGGAAAAGTACTGCTCATAAGTTATCAAAATATATTTGACCAGTTTTAACTCCTCATTCAGAAAAAGCATTTAAAACATATTTAGTCATGTGCTTAAATCCCATTGATTTAAAATATGTCTAACAGACTGTTCATATGGTAAGCAATCTCCATATCATATTGTTTTATTTAATTTTCAACATGTTTTAAAAAACTCTGCTTTGAAACTTTGGGAGTCATTTTGATAATTAACATCTATTTGGTAAATAGGCCCTTTTTCATTTATTTACAATAATGGGGTGAAAACAATCTTAAATAGAGTTGTGATTGAACCAGACCATCATAGCTGAATACTTCCAGACTCTGAGATTTCATGTTGTATTCAAAATTTTGCTGCTGGATGCTTTTTCAAAAATGGGCCAAAACAAAACTCTAAATCCAAGTGCAGGGAGTGGTCTGATCCAATTCTAAACTCAAACTTTATTTATGAGGTCTAACTCTTATGTTCTTATGTTCTAACTCCAGCAATTAAAGTTCAAATATTTGTGAGGTATAAATCAAAATAGTTCTATTGGGGAACATGACATTGTAGTCAATAGCAGCAATTTCAGTACTTTTACCTTGTTTTCTGTGTTTACTTTTTTAAATGGTCTTTGGCTTTAAAAATAGAACATAAAGCTAGGTGTGTGCTGTAATACAAAGGGATGGGTGGTTAGAGTTAAAGACAAAGTATTAGCCATAATTTTATATTTCCTTATAATTGTACGTAGAAATCAGCCAGTTTCTGGTCTTTAAACCACATTAGTTTTCATTTAATATTTCTACAGTATAACTAACTAGAAAGAAAAGCTTATTTAGAAAAGAATCCTCTCAGCAAATGCATAGAGCATAAAGAAATAACAATATATCTGTTAGTGAGCACAAATATTGCTGATTTTTGCTGCAAACCAATATTTTCAGTGTCAAAATAATTTCCATATAAATAGAAATTTGTCAGAGTCTGTTAAGCACCTGGTTTTCTTTTCACAAAACCTTCCAGAAAATTAAAGACATTTTAAAGACTTGCTACATCAAAAAGTAATGTGTGGATTGTTGGGGAGTGACAATAGATTCATGTGCATCTCAAAAATTAAAAAGGGTTCAGTGACTCCATTGTCATTAAACAGTCATTAAACCAGTAGTAGCATTATTAGTTATTTATAAATAACATTTCCTAAACCAATGTTGTAGTGACAGCTTCATGCAAGGCAAAAGATATGTGTACGGCAGATTCTTTCTTTGACACCATACAATATTCATAACACCAACAGGATATTTTAGTCATACAATGTGTGACGTATAGAAACCCCTTACTGTAAACAGTTTGGAAGTAACCACATCCACAGATCTGAATATTAGGGCACAATGTAGTGTTTATGAGGCAGGAAAGAAGAAGAAGAATCAGGTGTACTGCTCCACTAAATAAATTCTATACCTCATAGAATATTTGTATCACCCCAACTTCCAATATAACTTGAAAAGTAGGAGGGAAAAAAGGCAGTCATCTGTTTATGGAATTTTTGGCAAATCTATACCTCATGAATGCATATAAAAAAAACCTCTGCAAGATTTTGGAAGCTTCTTCAAAACATCTCAATAACCCCATGGCAACCAAATGCATCTTTTGTCTAACAGTGGTTCTGGAAAGTGCAAATAGACATTATATATAGGAGTATCACCAAGAGACATCAGACTTTGTGTTAATAGAGCATTAATCTCATATAACTTTAAAAGTGGTAAGACTGTTCATACTTCTTATTAAACTTATTTTACATGATGATATTGGAGCCTTTTGAAGGGCAGGGAATATGCAGAGGGATTTTGTGTGTCTTTCCATAATGAGAGGAACAATTACTGCAATAACTCCCAAGTTTATATTTCCCATAACTGACAGAGTAGAAAGCAAAAATCAGTCTTTGATTATTAACTGTTTTTGAGCTTGTGAAGGGGCAGACAAGCCCCGCATTGAAGGGCAAAGGGCAGCCCAGGCCCAGCTGGCGGAAGAGGCCCTTCCCATCCAGCCCTGCTGGGCATGCTCCCAGCAAAGCCCAGGTATAAGAGAGCAGAAAGCCCTGCATCTGAGAGGGCAGCAGGAGGGTAGAAGGGAGCAGGCAACAACCCCAGTGTTTCTGCAGCAGCTGAAGCCAGAGACAGAGCCTGCAGTGGACTCTGGGAGTAAAGCCAGCAGCTACCCCTGCCTGAGACCGGAGCACCTGCAAGCCCAGCAGCAGCCCCGGCAAGTACCGACTCCGAGACAAGCAGACCTCAGGGGTGCCAGGGCGCGGTAGGAAGCAGCCCAGGGCAAGGGATTGCTAGAGCAGCTTGGCGTGTAGTGGACCGATTCCCCGCCGAGCAGGCAGGAGCAATTGTCTCTGCCTAAGGGCTCTAGGCTGGGACCTGGAGGAGAGGGTGGGCCTGGATCCCCCTACCACCCATTTTCCAACCCTGGACAGAAGGATCCCTGGCCCAGGAAAGGCTTCTACTGGCGGCTAGGCCTCAAAAGCCATATTTACCCTGATAATGGGGCATTGATTTTGAAGACTAGGAGGCAAGGGCCGTATTTACTCTAGGGGAGTGGCGCAAACCCTGCAGCAGAGCTACAGTAGTATTTTGCTTAGGGCAAACACCATGGAGTAGAAGGCTCACTTACACATCTATGTGAAACAGTAACTTAGTGAATGACAGATCTGTTTCCTCCATAAATGCATTCATTTATCCGGTACTAACTTAAGAGGATTCTGTTGTATATGCAACTTTGGTGCAAAAAAGATTAGCTAACAGGCTTAACTTTAGGATTTAATAACTGTTGTTCCTAGTCTTTTCTAGTTTTCCTGCTTCTGTTCAGTAACATGTCTTTGTTACAGAAAGTACCCATTGTACAGAATTTAGCTATTTAGGCTTGTGTAGAAGGAAGTAAGAAAAAACATATAGAATGTTAATAAAATATAATTCAGTTCCCTGTAAGAATGCTCCAAAATGGTGATGGTAGTGACATTACACATTTTAGGTCTGTCTTCAGTAGTTTAAAGATTTATTATCTGTTTTCATAAGCAATTATAAAATAACTATCTCCTTCATATTGAATTATCATGTACTATGTCAAATATTAACTACATGATTTAAGTATCTTTCCAAGTTCTCGACTCTGTAAGTACCCTCTTACCTTCAACTGGTCAGAGGAAAAAGACATTTTGTTCAGAATAATTTATAAGGGGGGAAACTGATTCAATTAGGTTTTTCTATACCAGAGATTTTAGTCAGTGGAACTGCACTTCAACAGACACTCAGCATAGCCTCTTAAGATGTACTACCTTTCCTCAGCTCTTCTGCCCTAGCAGCCTTCCTCAGCTTATGCTACATTGACAACACCTTCATCATATGGACCCATGGGAAAGAGATCATTGAAGAATTCCACAGGGATTTCAACAACTTCCACCCCAGAATCTACCTTAGCTGGTATCAGTCCACACAAGATATCCACTTCCTTGACAATACAGTACAATTAAATGATGGACACATTACTACCACCCTATACTGGAAACTGACTGAATGTTATTCTTATCTACATGCCCCTAGCTTCCATTCAGAACACATCACATGATCCAGTGTTTACAGCCAGCCCCTAAGATATAACTGGATTTGATCCAATCCCACAGACAGAGACAAACACCTACAGGGTCTTTTTCAGGAATTTAAAAAACTTAAACACCCGCCTGGGGAAGTGAAAAAAACAGATTGACAGAGCCAGGTGAGTACCCAGGAATCTGTTCCTTCAAGACAGACCCAACAAAGAAAATAACAGAACACCACTAGCCCCTTACACCTACAGGCCCAAGCTCATACCGCATCATTGGCTATCTACAACTTCTCCTGGAAAATGATCCCTTACTCTCAGAGGTCTTGGGAAACAGGCCAATCCTCACCTACAGACAACCCCCTTGTCAGCAGCCACATATCACCCACATACTCTCAGGAACCTACACCTGCAATAAACCTCATTATCAACTCTGTCCACACAGCTATACTAGCGACACCATTACCAGATCTAACCACATCAGAGACTAATACAACTGCATATCCTCTAATGTGATATATGCCATCAAATGCCAGCAATGCCACTCTGCCATGTATATTGGTCAAACTGAACAATCTCTACAACAAAGGATTAATGGACACAAATCAGATGTTTGAAATGGTATCACACACAAACCTGTAGGGGAACATTTTAACCTGACCAGACACTCATTAATGGACTTTAAAGTAGCCATTCTTCTACAAAGGAATTTCACAAGCCAACTACAGAGAGAGAGAGAGAGAGAGAGAGCAGAATTGATCTTCATATGCAACTGCAACATTGTCTCACTTGATCTGAACAAAGACTTGAACTTATTAACATATTATAATGCCAGCTTTCCTTACATTCAACATGCTATGGGCCACTTCCAGCCCACTCAGTTAGCTTCATTAGCAATTGACTGGTAATACTCCTTTCTTAGTCTGAGGGTCCCCCCTTTTTTTTCTCCACTCTAGATCATCTCATCTGAAGAAGTGGGTTTTGCCCACGAAAGCTCATGATGCTGTATGTATATTTTTGTTAGTCTTTAAGGGGTCACAGGCCTATTTGTTTTTTTTTAAAAGTTGTTTTTAAAGTTACAGACTAACATGACTACCCCTCTGAGACTTTTTATACACTGTAAATTGATTTTACCCATCTACACTAGGGATTTGCACAGATGCAGTTTCCCCAGTTCTGAGAAATTCTGCTGCACTGATCCTGACTCCAGCAAAATCTTGCAGCTCCCATTGGCCAGTTTCCATCCAATAGGGATTGAGAAATTTTGCTGGGCGAGGGGGAATGTGTGAAGTCTTCCCCTTCTCATCCACAGCACAGAGAGCCATAGTGAGTAGCTAGCTACAGAGGTGGGTGGACCGGATTAAAAGAGCTGGTAGACTGGATCTGTCCCTGCTATAGAAGAAGCCTAAATATCTATATCTCAGTACTTCTTTAATTTTGTTTTACTTTCCTTATGTCATAATTCTGGTCTTTTGCAGAGAAGCATTGTTCTTTTCTGATATTTTTGGTTTACTGTAGTCATTTTCAGAGCCTACAGGCTCAAAGCCAGAGATCTTTAATAATTTTCTACTTAGTGAGATTTTTTTTCCTTTCAGTGACAGTTTTGTTAAGTAAAATGTGAGCTTTCAGTCATTCTCTATTATGTCTGCACTGTCTATAAAATGGAGAGAGCTTATATTCATCTATGGCTCCATCCCTCCTTCACTGGTACCCTGCAGAGAGCCCTCCACAGATATGAATGCAGGGAGGAGGTGAGCCAAAGACAAAAGTGGGGTTTAGGAAGAGCATAATTCATTCATTAAGTCCTGGAGGGAATTTATACAATAGGTCATGCTGCACAGTGGAAACCCTTTTTGTGGGTGATCACAGGAAGAGCCACATTGTAGAGCATCCCCAAACTGCAAGACCCTGTTGGAATCTGTACTGTCTGGGTTCTTAAGGGGTGTAAGATATCCAAAGTAAGACTTGAGGCATAGGACTTCCTCACAAATATCCCTGGACTCTGGTCATTCCCAAGGTCGATAGGAATTAGGCAGAATTTTTTGCTTTGTCCATTGCTGGACGGGGTGGGAGAAGGCAATCTGGCTTTCCTTCTTACCCATCTGCTAAATAGAGAAATTCAGATCAAACATCGTGGAACAGCAAAGTCTCTCAGAATTTTCCTCCCATAGCCTCCCATTGAGGTCATTTCTACAAGACAAGGATAGAGTAAAGACTGTAGAGGTGATATGTTTTGTTCATCACTTGTATTGGCTTTTAGCACAGGCATCTTGAGTGACATTCTGGCAAAGCTCATACTAATTTGAATCAGACTAGGATTTTGTTCCTTGTCTTTTTATTTGCATGTGAAGCACCATGTATATCTTCAATACTAAATAACAAATAACCATTTTTAATACATTCAAAATGGCTCTTTTAAATTTGTTTTGATATTTTATTGCAGACTTGAACTCCTCATATCTTCTGCTTAAGCTGTCTCATTCCTGATGCAACTGACAAAATAATTCTTAAGCAGTGATTTGAATTTTAAATTCTCTTTAGTTTTCTAGAGGGGACCTGCAAGTACCCTAGCAGATCCTCCCCTCCCCCCAAATATAGTTACTTGCTCGGTCTGTTTGTAAATTCCCCAAGCTGAGTAGTCACAGCACATCTGTATTAGAAGGCTCACTCTAAATGGACTCTTTTCTTTTTTTTTAATGTTCATTGATTTTACGAATGGCATTAAAAAAGCTCTCTGTTTATTCAGGTGTAAATGTACTAGTTTAGTTGAGCCACTGGTTCTGTCACTTTTAATATAACGTAACTAGTTCTCTTAATGGAGTGACTTTTTATAGTCCACTGACCATTCAATCTTGTCAACAGTGTAATATCTTGTTGATACCAAACTTTCAGTTTAACACTGCTTTTAAGACCTAGTCAAAATAAATAAATTAAAACTATTTAAAATGACTGCTGAGCAGTGGAAAAGCAACTTTTTTCATCCTGTCCAGAAACCTTAGTCATATGATACTGTGATAGTGAGTGAGCACTGTTTATACCTGGCAGCAAATAGTTTTGCATTAGAAATTAACAGAGCATATTTGTCTATGAGTAGCACCAAAAATAAAAATACTTTGAACTTATGTTTAATAATGCCTATTGGGGGATCTCTGAGTTTTGTAGATACAATAAAAAATTAGAACTGAAGCACAGAGAAATATGTGACTTCCCTAAACTTATACATAAACATCGATGACAGAGCTTAGACCTGAACCCAGATTTTTTTGATGCCTGATAAGGTTTCTTAACTAATGGCCTATTCTTTTCTATCATAAATTTCATGGGTGAACAAACAAATGTTGGTGGCTTTAATAGGATTTCTATATCACACATTTGGACTTCCCAATCAGCATTTAGGCTTGTAAAACATAATTTGTGTACCCTATCTGTTCGGGAGATCAAATATGAGATTTCAACAACCTAGGATATGTTTATATTTCAAATTTAATTTTTCTGTTACTAATATTAGGATTTCATTTTATGCCTACCTTATTGCAATTATTCAACTTGTGTTAATTCTCATGATATTTTAAAGTACAAACAAGTTTGCTTTCTGCCCTTATCTGGCAATATAGAATAGTGTATTTTATCTGCAATATAAACTCTATATACAGTGATTTATAATGAAAAATATTTTATTAGCAGGATATTATCCTTTCTCATTACTGCTTGTAATTTTTTCACATTCATAGCAGAAAAAGATAACAGCGAGAAGAATATTTCCTTTTTGATGTAATTACTAATATAATTAGATGCTGCATGTCACTATTGTAAACTTTGAATTGTAAAACATTTTAATCATCAGTTCAAATATGAAAATAGTTATGGTACCAGAACACACTGCCATTTTAGATTTCAATGCCCTCTTGTTTAGAATCACTTGACATTACAATCTATGTCTCTTTTACTTTCTTAGTTCTGTTATGGCATCTTATCAATACAAACTTTTCTCACCCCCAACAAGACAATGCTTTATTACATACCTGTACTAGACTGAACAATTCCAGAGTCCACAGTTTGTCCCAAAAGATCATATTGGTTCAATCGTGAGCCATCTTCTGCTACAACCACAGACCTTGCTGGTTCTCTTGTCCATTCATACACAACCTCTGCTCTGGTATAGGCATCTAATTTAAAAGAAAAATATTTCATTATCTAGCCTTTTACATTCTATTGCCTTTGAAATCTGAGAGGATGAAATCCACCTCTTCCCCATCCCATTCCTGACAATGAAAAGCCAGAATATATCATACTTTGTGCAGGAAACACCAAAGAGATAGAAGAGAGGACTTGAAATTTGCATCTCCTCATTCACGGGCATGCCAAGGACCACTTGAATTTTTGTAGCTTCCAAACTATGACGAAAATGGTAGTCACACTCTTCTGTACCTATACGCAATGTGAGTCCAAATAAACCTCAATGGCCTCCTCTTATGTCAACATGATTTGAACTTTAGCCTTGGCATGCATATCCCATCTGTAATCCACAACTCCCTCTTCACACTGTTTCATGAGGCTTAAGTGACAAAGAAGCCACACATTCATCTAAACCCAGATAGGCATCTGTTTCAGCTATCTGATCAGTTTCTATGTGGCAAGCTGAGGTGTGAATATATCTTGCACTAGCATGATGTGCACTGATTGTCCATATGGACTCTCCAGGAAATTGGAGTGATTTGATTTATGCTGCTTTGGAATTAGAGTACATCAGAGCACACTAAGGAACTTTTAATGCTTGGCAGTAGGTTTGGCATAGACAGTGCTTGGCAGACTAGATTTACATTCCAGCTTTCTATACGCTAACTGCTCACATAGACATGCCCTGAGACTTCCTGGGCATAGATTATTCTGAACTAGGCTGAATATATTTTTTTATACCTGTCCAGAAACCGTAGTCATATGACTAAGGTGCCAGTAGTGATTATCCTGGTTCAAACTTACTTATAACTTTACTTAACAAAAAAGAAAAAAGGCTTTGCATTTCCCATTCTCCAAAATGCAGTTTCAGTCTAGTATGTTACATAAATGCATCAGTGACATTACCCACATAGCATTGCATTGTATGGTCCAATAAAGTATTTGTGTCCTGTAATGGCTTGGTCACTAACAAAGAATCAAACAATTTGTGAATATTTTTTCTCTTTATGTTGTAAACGATTCATCCCATCATTTTTCCTGGCATGGTATTCGGCAATCTAAGGGTATGTCCACACTGCAAAGTTATTTTGAAATAACGGTAATTCCGTAATTTCAATATAATTTCAAAATAACAGATGGTTTATTCCAACTGCTGTAAACCTCATTCTACAAAGAATAATGCCTATTCTGAAATAGTTATTTCAAAATAAGGCAAGTGTAGACACTACACTTCTACTATTTCAAAATAGCCCCTTATCACTGCCATTCTAAGTTATTCCTCCAGAGGCTCTGAATCGAGATAGCACATCTACATTAGGTATGCCTTCCTTGGACAAATTTTGAGGCTTCCTTGCAGTGTAGATGTACTATTTTGAAATAAGCTATACTAGCATCCACACAACAATGGCATTATTTCAAAAGAAAATTGAAGTAATGGAGGGCTTTTTCCAACATTGGTAAACCTCATTCCACAAGGAATAACACTTCTTCTGAAAAAGCTCTTGGAAGAAGGTGTTGCTATGTCGAAATAGCTCCTCACCAGGGCCATTTTAAGTTATTCTTCCCCAGTAACTCCTGGGGCTCTAAATCAAGATAGCACGTCCACATTAGGGGAGCCTGCCTCAGACTAATTTTGAGGCTTCCCTGTAGTGCGGATACTCTATTTTGAAATAAGCTCTTCTGGAAGTGTACGTCTACACTAGCTCCCTAGTTTGAACTAGGGAGGCTAATGAGGACGACTGAAATTGCTAATGAAGTGCGGGATTTAAATATCCCGTGCTTGATTAGCATAGTCCCGTCCAGTGGCCGTTTTGGAAACTGACTAGCCTGAAGTAACTGCCCACATCTATACGCGGCAGAGAAGCGGGATTCCGAGATTAAACCACTTAGTTTGAATTAACTGTTAAACCTCAGTCCACGAGGAATAATAGTTAATTCAAACTAAGGGGTTTATCTTGGAATCTTGCTTCTCTACCGCATATAGACGCGGGCAGTTACTTCGGGCTAGTCAGTTTCCAAAATGGTGACCGGATTGGAATATGCTAATCAAGCACGGGATATTTAAATACCGTGCTTCATTAGCAATTTTAGTCACCCTCATTAGCCTCCCTAGTTCGAACTAGGGGGCTAGTGTAGATGTACGCAAAGATATCTTTTTTTTCCAAAAGAAGCTTGCAGTGTAGATGTACTCGTAGGGTGTGTCTAGACTACATGGCTCCGTCAACGGAGTCAGGTAAATTAGTTTATTTGGCATAGTCAAAATAATTTAAATAATCCCAGCTTCATTAAAATAAACATGGCCACCGCGCTGTGCTGACGATCAGCTGATCCAGCACAGTGAGGCAGTCTAGACGCGGATCTGTCGGCTGGGGAAGCCTTTACCGACCAATCCCTTATGCTTTGTGAAACGAGGTTTACATTCTATTAAATACTTTTTTCTCTTTAATTTGTTCATATCCCGTTCTCATTAGGTTCATGTCTTTTACATAAAAAACGTCAAGTTCTTAAAATATGTAAGTTTTATAAAACACAAGATAAATAAAAGTTATACAACCTAAATATGAATTTCATCACTGTATTTCAATCAAGCATTTAAAACTACTGTCATAGTAAACAAGGAACTCGTTGCTTTAATGAATAAAAGGTAAGAAATATTTTGAGCATATCACATTTATTGTAAGCAATTTGTAATGCTTCTTAACTACCTAGTTACTTACCTAGTTAACCTAATTGTTTTTCATACTATTGCACAGCGATAAACTACATGAGAGTTTTATGAATGTAAAAGCTTAACTTACCTGTTAAAATAACACACAGAAAAACTTTTAAATAAAACTAACATACAATGTGAGAATCTCCTTTACTTATTTGACGGCACCTAAAGCAATAAGTAACCTAAGGCTGAGGATACACTTCAAGCATGGCTTTCTGTTTGCCATGAGGACTTTTTTCTTCAGGCTGCCATGAGATTCTATTCTTAAGTAAAGGAGAAAGGTCTCTCTGAGGTGCTCTTCCAAATTTCACACAAGCCATTCAGTTGAAGCCATATATATCAAGATTCAAGGCTAGCCTTGCCTTGAGCAGACTGCCTCATCAGGTATTCACAATCACAACATCCAATATGTATAAGACTTTTAGTTGAGGAAGCCATGTTAATTCCAAGTCTCTGCTATGACTGAGAGATGTGGGTGACCTATAGAAAACACCAGCATTTTATTTGGAAAATCTGCAACAAAACATGGGAGACCTATCACTTCAGTAATGCCAACTCCTTTAGAATTGAGGCTCTTTCTCAACCTTTTTTTTATAAGCTTCAGAGAGGTAGCTGAGTTAGTCTGTAACAGAAAAAACTTAACTTAAAAAACAACAAATAGTCTAGTAGCACTTTAAAAAGTAACAAAACATGTAAATAGTATCATGAGCTTTTGAGGGCAAAACCCACTTCTGCCCACGAAAGCTCATGATACCATTTACATGTTTTGTTACTTTTTAAAGTGCTACTAGACTACTGTTTCTTAAGTTTTTCCTTTTTTATAAAGTACCTTTTTTTTATAAAAATTATAAGTACCCCCAATGCACCAACCCTCCCCCAGACCCAGGCACCCCATCCCCCCATTCCAATACACCCACTCCTTCACCAGAGCCAGGTACCGCAGGTACAGGATGAGTAAGGTGGCTTTAAAGTGGTTGCTCCTGCCACCCGGCCTGGCTGCCTCTGCTTGATCACAGTTTGCCCAAGGAGGCAATCACAGTTTGCCCAAGGAGCCAGCATGTGGCATGCCAGGTGCTCCCAGCCAGTGCCGTAACTAGCTAATTTTGCACCTGAGGCAAGACTAGAAAATTGCACCCCTTCATGTTTATATATTCATAGTAGTTATTTAATAGAAAAAGGGAAATTACATAAATAGCAATAATTAATTTTAGTTCATTAAAACTTCTTTTGCAATAAACCACCATCACTGGCAAGCAGAGAAATACTTGCAGGGCAATTTCCAAATTTGGATAAGATTTGGCCAGATTATATTCATGAATTAACTGTAGAAGGTCCAAACTAGTCACAGATGAAACATTTGCAACAGAGCTGAATCTCTGACAAAATTTCTGAGACATTCAAAGCACTGTCATATTTAAAACTTAAATCCATTGTTGCTTTTTGAAGATTAGCTGTATCCATTTTAACAAAAGAATCGCCTGAAAAAAAATCCTGCTTCAATTCTTAAACTTAAATACAATAGCCTTTAAATGGCTCACACTGCCCATTAAAATAGTTATCTTGAAAACTGGAAACATATGTTTAAGGGATTGCCACATTGACTTTACCACGGGTCTCATAAAGGAAACATCTTTTTAGAAATTGGACAACGGCGCCACTAGGGAGCTGTGGATGTTGACTGTCCTCGGCGCGGGCAGGGGTGTTGATGTGGTGCGAGGCATGAGTGAAGATAGCTTAGTATAGTGGTCTCCAACTTTTTACACCCAAGATCACTTTTTAAATGTCAGGACCAAGATCTACCCCATCCCTTCCTCAAGACCCCACCTCTTCCTTGAGGTCCCGCCCTCTCTGTTCCCCTCCTTTCCATCACTTGCTGTCCCCAGCTCTTATACACTCTCACTGGGTTGAGATGGGAGGTGCAGGCTCCGGGGTGGGGAGGGGGGAATGAGGGATTTGGGTGTGGGAAGCGGTGAGAGGTGCAAGCTCTGGAAGGGAAAGTGGGTGCAGGAGGAGGCGGAGAAGGGAAGCCACAGGCTTGTGGATGTGAGGGTGCAGGAGTTTGGGTTGGGGATGTGAGGGGCTCAGGGCAAGGAGATTGGGAGTATGATGTGCTCAGGACACAGATTTGTGGTGTGTTGAAAGTGCAGGTACACCACAGATTTGTGGTGTGTCGAAAGGAGTGTTGTGGCAGAAGACTGAGGATATGGGGGTGCAGGAGTTTGGGGATGTGAGAGGCTCAGGACAGGGGGTTCCAGTGTATAATAGGCTCAGATTTTGGGTCGGGGGAGGGGGCGTGCAGGAGTGTTATGATCCTGTGGCCAGATGAGCGGTTGGCCCCAATTTGGGTCTTGTTGGCCAGGCTTCATTTTTAAATACAATATTATGTCAAACACAAAAGATTTCAGCATTGTCTTCATTTATGAAAGGGGCGGGAAACCTGTTTTGAGTCGGGGTCACTGACCCACAGAAAAGTCAGTTGGGGCCACGCAAGTGAGATGCAAAAAAGCAACCCCTCCAACCCTCTCCATGCCTCACTAATGTGGCCCCAACTGTGCTGGTGGGGGAAGAGAACAGGGTTTTGGGGCAGGGTATTGGTGGGTGCTGGAGCAGGTGGCAGGGTGCCGGTGGGTGCTGGGAGAGGGTGCAGGTGGGGGCTGGGGCAAGGTACTGATGGGGGAAGGGTCTGGCCAGTGGGAGGGGACAGGGACAGATGACGCCAGTACCTGGGGATTCTGCAGCTGTGTACCAGCTCTGGGGTCTCAGGCAGCACATGCACTGCTTCCCCTTCCCCAAACAGCTGGCACATTTCCTGAACAGCTGGGTCTGTGGTGCACCAGCGACTCCTTCCCCTGCTGCCTACCGGGGGGGAAGTGGGAGTCCCGGAACCGCACCAGCTCCAACTGCATGGAGCTCTGTTCTTCAGTCCCAGTGACAGCTGCATGCTTCCTGAGTGGTTGGAGCTGATGCGGTCCTGGGACTCCTACTGCCTCCCCGCAGGAAGACAGCAGGAGAAGGAGGTCACTGGTGCACCACAGACCCACCTTTTTAGGCAGCACACCAGCTGTTTGGGGAGGAGAAGTGCACCCCGTGCACTTCCTGAAACCCCAGACATGGCGCACAGCTGCAGGACTGCACCCCTCACCTGTGTGCCTTGCCCTTGTTATGGTCCTGCTCCTGGCTCACCATTATGCATCACATGGGCTTGTGTGCTTTGGTCCTGCCCCAGCCCAATGCCCCCCTAGCAGGGTGCGCTGAGGCACAATTCAATAAAGACAGTGCTTGACAATTACTGCTATGTTGAGCAGTTAGCTATAATAATAAGATTTTAGTTTATGGAGTGACTTTTTTGACCATGAGAAGCCTTGATTTAGGTTAATGTTCTCCTGGGCCCATACAGACACATTGTATGATTTAGTCAAAATATGCAATGTTAATAGACCATGAGTATTGAAAAATGCCCTCATCTTTCATCTAAGTGCACACTTTTAAGTATAAATCTCACCATAGGCAAATATGGTCATATTTAGCCATCTTCCCACCTTCATGTGAATATGATAATCCATTTTTCTTCCAAATAAAAATGACTAGGAAACTGTATCACCCATCTGATAGATACCAAGACAAAAGATTTCCTAAACACTTAAGGTATGTCTACACTTGCCCCCTAGTTCAAACTAGGGATGCAAATGAAGCATACCAAAATTGCTAGTGAAGCATGGGATTTAAATATCCCACGCTTGATTATCATATTCATGGCCAGTCGCCATTTTAAAAAGCCGATAGCCCGAATTAACTTGACGCATGTAGATGCGGTATTCCGATCCAAAACCCTTCCCCTCTAATTAACTGTTACTCCTCATGCAATGAGGAGTAAAGGTTAATTCGAGGGAAGGGTTTTGTATTGGACTACCACATCTACATGCGGCGAGTTAATTCGGGATACCGGCTTTTTAAAATGCTGACTAGTCGGGAATATGCTAATAAAGCACAGGATATTTAAATCCCATGCTTCATTAGCAACTTTGATATTCTTCGTTTGCCTCCCTAGTTTGAACTAGGGGGCAAGTGTAGACATACGCTTAGATAATTCAGAAACTGCTGAAACGAACACAGTAATAATGGAAATGAGACTACATCATGAATTCATTCTGATGTGTGTGTGTGTGTGTGTGTGTGTGTGTGTGTGTGTGTGTGTTTCAATCACCCAGCCCTGGGTGTCAGCAAGGTACACAGAAGAGAGACAATGAGTTAATAAACTTTTTTAATGTGTATGGCTGGCCAGAAAACAAGAATTTTGTTTCAGGAAAAATGTAAAGGTTTGACATTTGTTTCAGTGAACTTTTAAAAATAATTCTGAATTTTATACTCCAGAACCAGACCTGCCACTAGGACAAGGAGTGAATGGAGGAAACTGCTTCATGGCCTAGTGATTCTAAAGGGATGAGGCTGCCATCCACTGCTGCTGTTACAGTGGCAATGCCCAGAATCCCAGGGCACTTTGGGTAGCTCTAAGGGCAGGAGGGGGGCAGCATAGTACACTCAGGTCAGTACTCAGGGCTGGCAGCCTTTGGACCCACCTCTTCTGTCCAAGGACCATCCCATTCTGGGAACACAGAGTGTCTGCCCCCCCACCTTGCCCAAGGGCCTACGTGGCTATCAGTTCCCCTGCACAGAACAGCTAATAGTCTCATGGTCAAGATAGAGTCAGACAGAACAGGGTCTTACCTGCACCATCCAAAAACGAGGTGAATGCCCTAACTAACAAGCTATTGGCTAGAAATTCTATCCTCAGCTTTGGAACCTGCTACATTTTTCCTAATTTTTTGGAGGGGAGTGAAGGGCGATTGATAAAGCAATATTTTCCTAGAGGAAAAATATTCCATCAAAAAATTTGTAACCAGTTCTAAGTCTGAGGCCTTAGTTCTGCTACTGGGTCCATATTGTCCTCTCTAGGGAAATAAACTGTGTAGCCTACTGGAAACTATCAAGAGTTTTATCCTTATCAATCCATTTAGGAAGAAAATGTTTGCTATCTCATCCCCATGATATTATTCACCTCCTTCAAGGAACTGATAATGACTTCAGATCCCTGAAGACCAAGATCTTGTGTATAATAGATTTATCCCTCCAAAATGGCTTCAAGCTATTACATAAAATAGCAACTTGGTAGTACAGCTTTTGCTGTCTACCACACTTGCAAGAATAACCTAACCTGGACTTGTGTAACAGCCAGCCAGAGGGAGCCTAGATTAAAATAGAAAATCTTGAAAGAACATCCAATACAAAGTTCACATATTTGGTAGGCTCTCTGGTGCTTCAGTTTTCTCAGAACATTTGTAGCCATGTGCCCTACTACAGTTAGAGGTTTTATTTATTTTCTTCTTGTTCATAGGAGATAGCCAGAAATGTTTCCTGGAGGATCTGAAAGAAAGTTTGGCATTTAAAAGGTACCAATTCTGGTCAGCTGTCCTCAGAGATTCTAAGCTTTTTATCCACTGAATCCCAGCACTATACAAAATTGTATATAGAAGACAGGTAACTATATAGCAGTACTGTAATAGATCAATCCTTTCCTAGAGTAAATAGAATAATTCAGTTCAAAGTAAATTATCAGCTTGTCTGTTACCCAGTGAGAATGAAGTGAATGAGTAATTATCCATTATCAATGAAATGTCCCAATTCTTCTGGAAAGAGAAATAGCCATTGAGGAAATAATTTGTATCCTATTAAATGTTCACTCATTTTGTCTTCTTTTTTCATGTTGAATTAGATAAAATAAACCTGTTATTTCTTCTGTTTCCAGAACTTTCTCAAAATTTAACTTTTTGATATGCATACTTTCAAATTATTTAAAAATAATATTTTTATCTGAAAAATGGGAATATGTAGGATGGTCAAGAGTTAAGAGTCAAGAGTTTGGTCTCAGCCATGTTGCCTATCAACAAAAAATTTCTTCAGTAAAATCCTGGTCCCACTGAAAGCAGTAGCAAAATTCTAGTTCACATTATTCAATAAATCTGCTAATATGAGCTAAAAATCATAGGAATGGGACACTCTCATGAGATTTTTAAGGATTTTATCTCAAGAAGTTCCAAAACATCATCTTTTTCTCATTATATCTTTGTACCTTTAACTTTAGTAATAGGAACATTTGAGCATCTTTAAAAAGAATTTATTTTTATTTGGTTTTAAAAATGTGCACACTGCACGGAATGAATTCACTTATATCTGAATCAATTCATCCATTCATGGATCTATAATGCTGATCTTACTCAGTATCAAACAAAAATTCCTTTACAGTAAAGCTTAAAATGGGTTTCTATATGCCATGCTGCAAAGCTATTATCTACATCTTTGAAGTATAGCCATTTCTCTCTTTGGTCAATGTTTAGACAAGATTTTGAATTATAGTTAGTTGTGTAGAAAAAGTTCATTTAAAAAAACCTGGAAATATTGAAAAAAATACAAGCTTTTATGGTTTTAAATAATCTTATGCTCTGATATGATGTAAAACATTTGTCACGTAGCCTTGAAAATGGGGAATCAGAGTTAAAAATAAACTTACAGCTTCCAAATTTCAATGGGCAAGCATGTGCATCCATTGGAAAGTCTTCTAAATGCATTGGACATTCTGCTCTCACAGTCAATCTACAATGGATTCATAAACAAAACAAAAAATTATACCTTCATGCAATTAAGAAACATAATTATATAGACAATTATATAAAGGAAATAATTAATAAATACAATTATAAATATATTTGCTTAGTGATCAACAGAGGAACACAAAGAATTGTTGTCATATTTCACAAACTTCTAAAAGATGTTTTGCAAGTGGCTGTGTTTTTTAAAAAAGTGATTTTTTTTTTCAGTCATACTATAAATTTTTGCTCAGTTCTAAATGTTGCTTAACTGGCTTGAAATCTTCCACAAGTCTAATATTAATGTGTTCATACAGTCTTTCCTCAGGCAAAATTCTCATTGATAATGGGAATTTTGCCTGAGTAACGAGAGTATCAGGACAATAATGGACAAAATATTAAGGAGCTTGTTTAGTTTCCTCTTCAGTAGCTTTATGTTTGACAATTATCCAGTTATTTAATATCATCAGTCATGGGTATCAGATATTACAACATATGCCTTTATTTCATTTCCAAGATATTTACAATACTGACCTGATGCATAGCCCACTGGCATTTAATGAGATGCTTTCCACTGAGTTCAATGGCATTAGATGAGGAACTCTCTTTTTAAATGTCTGTCTCAGTTTGATAATGAACCTAAAGCTACACAATGGTGCAAACACTGCAGGAAAGTTGGCCACCCAAAAGAGTGAACTAGAAGTATGTGTTTGAAAGGAGACTTCCAAATAAAGTTTTCTAAAATTATTTAATTTGGTTGTCCACAGTCAATGATTCTTGAAGCCACGAAGAAAGTTTGAACACACATTTATAAAATCACAATTGACTGTTACCCTGAATATGAAATAAAAATGTAGTTGTGTAGATACACTTTGCCCATTTTATGCATAGTTCTTTAGAATGTCCAGTACCAATGTGTTAAAGTGATGTATGTGTGATGATGACATCTCAAACGAGACAGATACTCATTATATAATATAAAGCTCAGACATTAAGAAATCATCTGAGGCACACATTCATTACGCTGACAAAATTTCTATTGCCTTCATAGTATATACTTCCGTGATCCCTCAAGAGTATAATCACGTGCAATAAAATCTTCACCTTATTGAAATAATTCTAAGGTGGTTTGGAGATTGAAATGTACTTAAAACAAAAGATTTGTTACTGATGCATTAGCTTGGAATACATTCAAGCTAGACACCCGGCTGGTAAAACAAAGATTTGATCAGGTTGGAGTAAAAAATATTGCACAGTAAGACAGATAAAATAGGTAAGGCAGTGGTCCCCAACCTTTTGAGGTTGTCGGGCGCCAGGGGGCATGGCCGTTTGCCCGCCGGGCGCCAGGGGGCGGGGACACTTGCGTGCCCGGGGGCGGCCCCCCCATATCAGTGTGCCCAGGGTGGGGCCCCCCCCATAGCTGCATGCCCGGGGTCGGTGCCCCCTCTAAGGGCCACATGCCCGGGGCTGGCGCACCCCCAAAGCACCGCGCGCCCGGAGCTGGCGCTCCCCCCCAAGTGCCATGCGCCTGGGGCCGGTCGCCCCCTCCCGCCGAGTGCCGTGCGCCCGGCGCTCCCCCCGCCAAGCGCGCTTCCCCCGCAAGCGCCCGTGCACCATGTGCCCGGGGCCAGGCCAGCCCCGAACACCTGGCGGGCACATTGAAATGCCCCTGCGGGTGCCCGCGGGCACCGTGTTGGGGACCATGGAGGTAAGGTAATGACATCAGGATGTATAGTGTCCCTGAAAGTCAAGCACCACACATCAGCAAGGAAAGGTCAGTAAAACTTGAATATTATAGAGAAATTGCACGCATGTGCTTTTACAAGTGAAAGGTAAGAAAGACAACTAATAATGGCTAAAAGGATATATTTGAACAATGCACTGCAAAATGGTACTCTTGGACATTAGGCTGCTAACATCCAAGAATTTGGGGAAACCAAAACAAGAGTCACCTAGACTTGCATAATTGCCAGCTGAAAAAGTCTGACTCCAACTTAGACAGTCTTGAAAGACATCTCAGAATAATTTTGCATATTTGACATGCTCCTAGGAGCATGGAGATTTGAATTTCTCAAAACACTCAGGACACCTGTCCCATCTTTTAACATTTTTAGAAGTGTTAAAAGAAATCTCAATACTCCCACAAGAATCAATCTGATCAGCTTGATTAGTCTCTAAAGAATTACTTTATATTTTGAAAACCAGTGAGACAAAACTGGCAGCTGTCTAGATGCAAAAAAACAGAAATATAAGCAAACAAAAAAAATTCCTTTTCCATTGTTTGTTAAAAGGCTTTTCAATCAAAAAAATTGTCAGTCCTTTGTTTTCTATAACAATGTGTGCAAAAATTGATTATTTCTTTTCCTGACTGCATTTAGCACAAGTTCAAGAGTATCCAAATTATCCATATGATAAATTTCTAATAGAAAGTACGTCCATCGATGAAACATGTTCCCAACAATTTCTCAGATTCTTCAAACAACTTGCTTTTTCTTGTTACTGTATGTCTAAAAAGATGAATGCCCATTTTTAGACTATAATATCCTTCTATATTTCCCATGGAAAATGGAAAGTGTGCAAAAACCTCTATGCCCTAATTTTTTTAAATCCTCATCGTGCTATAAATATACCTTCACATTTTAGGTCTACTTCGCTGGAGTGTGAGTATTCAGGCTTCATTGTGCTGTTAAACTGGGATTCTCAAACAAGCAACTCCAATTTCAGGTCCATTAAAAGCTAGTTGACACTGGAGGGCTAATTCTCCTAGAGCCTTTCAAAATCACATTACATGGAGTTTTAAAATGACCAAGGTGTGGCATAAGAAAAATGATTACATTGCAAGCTTCTGAATTTGTCAATACTGGTATGACCTATTGTGAAAATTACTATTAAGCCTAAAATTCAAACATACAGTTATCAGAAAGAAATATTTCTCCATTCTTTTTGATGAAATTATACAGTAAAAAAAGTAGTAATTTCAAATTAAATGAACCCCTCTCACACACATACTGTATTTTTATTCTTACCTCATTGTATACAGCAGTGTCCCATCCTCTGTAATTCGTAGTAGTTTGTTAGGCATCGTCATGTTGTGAGCCACTGATTTCTTTCCATTGTGGAAGAAAGTATCAGGTGTCCAGATCTTGCTGGCCATTAAATTATTTAGCCGGAGGACTGTCATGGGTCCTTTGAATTTTAATCTCTCATCTCTCCAACTTTGACGGAAAAATACATCTATTGTGTATTCCTAGAGGAATTCATACAACGGAAAAACTCTCAAGATGTCACATTTTGTAATTCAAGTTTTTGACAGGTGATCAGTGATCGAGGATATGGGGGAAGGGACATAACGCCTTATTCTCTCCTCATCTACAAATAGTTTAAAAGTAGGATATAACTCCTGATTTATATCAGTGTAAATGAGAGAATACATCCTTGACAATAACCATTGATCATTAAGGAATGAAATATTTTAACGTGATACAAAGCAGTATAACCAGAAGCAACAGAATGAAATTACAAAACAATTATAATATATAAAATTTTATATATCTTTGAAATAGTATTCCAAATGGAGGAGTAGAAAAGATTTAAATTAGACTAGATGAAGTATGATAAAATAACGAGTAGGAAATTCCAGCCATCTGTAGCTGTTATGATGCTATGATGAATATGAAGTTATTGAAAAACATGGTAATTTAAAATTACACTGTACAATCATCCATTGTTTTTTACTAAAGAATGAGCCTACCTTTAGACTTTTTGACCAAAGACCAATGGCAAACCATGAAGGAGAATGGCCCTGCCATAAATATTACACATACAAGTAACAGAACTGCAGCTATCTAAGAATAAAGCCAGTAAAGACAGACATTCTAGAAAGAATGGAAGAAATTAAGTATGACACCAGATTCAACTAGACTAAGTCACCTTGAAATAGTCCATTTATTTTTTATACATGTTAGTATTTCATGGAGAAGAATCCATGGCGAGATGTTTTCTAATTGGTAACTATCAGCTACATTACAGGCTATTTAGCCTGAAAGGTTACAGTATATGCTTCATCTGTTTGGCATGATGTTCTAACCATGTTAGTATTTTAATTGTTTTCAATCGCCTAGTGCAATGGTTTCAAACTTTTTTTCTCATGACCCAGTTGAAGAAAATTGTTGATGCCCATGACACAACATAATTTAACTAGAGTGTAGGCTCCAGTGTGGGGCTGATGATGAGAGCTTTGGGCTGTAGTAGGGGGCTCCAGCTTTGGGGGGAGGGATCAGGGCTGGGGCAGGACGGGCTTACCTTGTGTGGCTCCTAGTCAGCAGTGCAGCGATGATGCAAAGGCAGCTTCCTGCCTCTCCTGTTACCGCATACAATGCTGCATCACAGAAGCAGTCAATAGCAGGTTCCTAACCGATGGGAGTGCAGAGCTAGTGCTCAGGGTAGGAGCTGTGTGCGGAGCCCTTTCCCCTTAGGAGTCGATATTGTTACCGGCCACTTCTGTGGCAAATTGCAGTCTGTGGTGCCAAGACAGGCAGGTAGCCTGCCTTTGCATCACTCTGATCACCTGATCACCCTGCAAAAATGAGACCCAGTGCCTGACATTCCATGACCCAGTAATGAGTTGTGACCCATAGTTTGAAAACCCCTGACCCACTGACTCCTACTCCACCCATGTGCTTCTAATTAAGTGGATGCTGGATCAATGTCCCCATAAGGAACCACTTAAGTCAATGGGACTTTGGCCATTGACTTTGAGGGCAGTCAGGATTTCACCCCCATGTTTATGCAAAAGCAGATGTGAGGATGGGTGATATTATGGTCAGCAGGTGAGAGGAAATTGTTGGCTTTTCATCATATTTTCTCTAAGCTCTACTCAAAACTTACTTACACGGGAGTATAAATATATTGCTTGAGAATGAAGGGGAGTTATCGGGAAGGAGGAAGCACAATTGGAATTGCAGCTAGCAAGGGATGTGATGGATAACAAGAAAGATTTCTACAGACATGTTAGGAATAAGAGGGTCATCAGCGAGGGTGTGGGACCCTTACTGGATGAGAGAGGTAACCTAGTGACAGATGATGTGGGAAAAACTGAAGTACTCAATGCTTTCTTTGCTTCTGTCTTCATGGAAAAGGTCAGCGCTCAGACAAATGCACTAGGTGACACAGTATGGGAAGGAGGTGAACAGCCCGTGGTGGGTAAAGAACAGGTTAGGAACTATTTAGAAAAGCTAAACATACACAAATCCATGGGCCCGGATTTAATGCATCCGAGGGTACTAAGGAAGTTGGCAAATATCACTGTGGAGCCTTTGGCCATTATCTTTGAAAACTTGTGGAGATCAGGAGAGGTCCCAGATGATTGGAAAAAGACAAATGAAGTGCCCATCTTTTAAAAAGGGAAGAAGGATGATCCAGAGAACAACAGACCAGTTAGTCTTACCTCAGTCCCTGGAAAAATCATAGAGGGGATCTTCAAGGAATCCATTTTGAAGCACTTGGAAGAGGGGAAATTGATCAGGAATAGTCAGCATGGATTCACAAAGGGCAAGTCATGCCTGACCAATCTGATTAGTTTCTATGAAGCGGTAACTGGCACTATGGACACGAGGAAGTCAGTGGATGTGATATACCTAGATTTTAACAAAGCTTCTGAGACGGTCTCCCACAATATTCTTGCCAGTAAGTTAAGGGAATATAGATTGTATAAATGTACTGTAAGATGGATAGAAAGCTGGCTAGACTGCCGAGCCCAATGGGTAGTGATCAACGGCTCAGTGTCAGGTTGCCAGTCGGTTTCTAGTGGAGTGCCTCAAGGATCTGTTCTAGGATAGGTTTTATTCAACATCTTTATTAATGACCTGGGCGAGAGGATGGGTTGCACCGTCAGGGTATGTCTACACTACCCTCCTAGTTCGAACTAGCAGGGTAATGTAGGCATACTGCACTTGCAAATGAAGCCCGGGATTTGAATTTCCCGGGCTTCATTTGCATAAGCGGGGCGCCACCATTTTTAAAACCCCGCTCGTTCAAACCCCGTGCAGCACGGCTACACAGGGCACGAACTAGGTAGTTCGAACTAGGCTTCCTAGTTCGAACTACCGTTACTCCTCATTCCACAAGGAGTAACGGTAGTTTGAACTAGGAAGCCTAGTTCGAACTACCTAGTTTGTGCCCCGTGTAGCCGTGCTGCACGGGGTTCGAACGAGCGGGGTTTTAAAAATGGAGGCGCCCCGCTTATGCAAATGAAGCCCGGGAAATTCAAATCCCGGGCTTCATTTGCAAGTGTGGTATGCCTACATTACCCTGCTAGTTCGAACTAGTGGGGTAGTGTAGACATACCCTCAGCAAGTTCACAGATGACACTAAGCTAGGGGGAGAGGTAGATACACTGGAGGGCAGGGATAGAGTCCAGAGTGACCTGGACAGATGAGAGCATTGGGCCAAAAGAAATCTAATGAGGTTAAACAAGGAGAAGTGTAGAGTCCTGCACTTGGGATGGAAGAATCCCAAGCATAGTTACAGGCTGGGGACCGAATGGCTAAGAAGCAGTTCTGCAGAAAAGGGCCTGGGGATTACAGTGGATGAGAAGCGGGATATGAGTCAACAGTGTGCCCTTGTAGCCAAGAGAGCTAATGGCATATTAGGGTACATTAGGAGGAGCATTGCCAACAGATCCAGAGAAGTGATTATTCCCCTTTATTCGGCTCTGGTGAGGTCACATCTGGAGTATTGTGTCTAGTTCTGGGCCCCCCACTATAGAAATTATGTGTATGCATTGGAGAGGGTCCAGTGGAGGGCAACCAAAATGATTAGGGGCCTGGAGCATATGACCTATGAGGAGAGGCTGAAGGATTTGGTTTTGGTTAGTATGCAGAAGAGAAGAGTGAGGGGGGATTTGCTAGGAGCCTTCAACTTCCTGAAGGGAGGTTCCAAAGAGGAAAGAGAGAAGCTGTTCACAGTAGTGACGGATGGCAGAACAAGGAGCAATGGTCTCATGTTACAGTGGGAGAGGCTTAGGTTGGATATTAGGAAAAACTATTTCGTTAGAAGGGTTGTGAAGCACTTGAATGGGTTACTTAAGGAGGTGGTGGAATCTCCATCCTTAGAGGTTTTTAAGTCTCAGCTTGACAAAGCCCTGTCTGGGTTGATTTACTTGGGATTGGTCCTGTCTTGGGCAGGGGACTGGACTTGATGACCTCCTGAGGTCTCATCCAGCTCTGTGATTCTATGATTCTATTCTATGATTCTATAGTGAAAGATAAGCACGGGAAGTGACAGCCTGGCAGCATAGAAGAAATTGTTCACTTGTATCTGATACTACAGAAAGGGGAGACAGTGGGATGATGTGAAAGTTTGGAAGGAAGACACTAAGGAGCTCCGTCAGTCACTGTAGATTAGTATAGGGGGACCTAAAATTGAGAGATCAGGTGTCTGACCAAATGATTAGATGACAGAGGAAGGAAAGCAGAGAGAAAGTGTTTATGGGCCTTATCAAGACTTCTGCATTTCCTGATTACCCTCAACCCCAGAAAACTGTTTCCCAGAACATTCAGTGTTCATCTACACTGCACCCTTACCTCGAAATAAGCTATGCAATTTCTGCTACGCAAATTACATAGCTTATTTCACTGTTATTTTGAAATAGCTTATTTTGCAATTTGGTGCTATGTACACAGTGCCAAATTTCAAAATAAGGTGCTATTCTAAAATGTCCCTTATCCCTTGTGCAATGAGGTTTACAGGGGCATCAGAATAGACATAGTCTCACTGAAATTTAGAAAGAAATATGTTTTGGCTTTGCTCACATTTTGTTAGAGTGCGCTATACACCATTGCCCAAGCAATATTTCTGCTAAAATGAAAGCTATCAGAAAGCCAGTTTTAACATTAAATGGTCAGATCTTCTGATCAGACTGAGTATGGATCTTGTGACTGGGGCATTACTTAACAGAGCAGGAAAATATGCAGTTACACAATATCCTTGCTTTAATTCTGGAAAATATGCAGTTACACAAGCCAGACAAGGATCTGACTATACCATTTACATCTAGGATTGGTCACATATTCATTAATGGGAATGTAATGAGAGAAAAATAAATTAACTCTCTATATCCACACAAGAAATCATACAATTGTTAAATATTATTGCTTTTGGATAAGTTTGTAAGGCCTAGAAAAATTAAATTTAACATTTTCTGTGTTTGCCTAACCCTATCTATTGCCTATTATTTATTATCATCTGTTTGTTTGTTTGTACTGTTATTATTTTACTTATTTTTTAGGAACACCCAAAGACCCCATTTGGCTAGTTGCTATAAAAATATATAGCATATAGAAAGAATAAAATTTCGTTTTAATAACAGATCTCAGTAGTGCATTTCTTTGCTCAAGATTAGTGTTCAGAAAGTTAAAAGCATTTAAAAGAAAATAAAACTTTTAGGAACTATCCTATCTTTTTATACCTAATGGTCCCCTTTCTTACATAAATTCAGCTATACTGCTGTTGTTATATTAATTCTTTGTTTTACTATACACTTATGCTTAATTTTGAAAATAGATTACCTTATTTTCTAGAATTATATTTCTGCCCAAATGTCAAGTGTCACATAAAGGTAGACATGTATCAGCAGTGTCAAATCAGATTCAACCTGTATTCAATAATGAAATAACCTGAACCAACAAAATCTAAGTAAGATAGAAAGTTCAGCCTTGGCATAGTCCTATATACACCAGTAAACCTACAAACTGTCTTGAACATAAGTCTATGCTATGGGAATGCCCACACGTGCATTGCTCACAGGTTAGCATGCACTGGTGGAATTCCACAATGAAACTAGCTATCCATGTTCAGACAAGAGTCCATCTAAGCAAATAGATGGGGAAAATGTGTTCATTTATTATTTCAAATATTAAAATTATTTTTGATTCAACCATGCACATTGTCCCTTAATATTTGCTTCCTGTGAACATCTAAACCAAGCTGCAAAAAGAAGCCAAGATTTTCAAAAATGGCTAGTGATTTGGGGTGCTGATCTTGAGACATTTTAAAGGATCCCAATTTTCAGAATGTGCCAGGCAGCCATCTTTGAAAGCCAGGTCACTTTAAGGTGTCCTATTGAGCACTTAAAAATCACATTTAAAAATTTAAACTGCTGCATTTTTAGTTTAAAAGCCTAACTATTTACTGAAAATTAATTTCAAATTGCATACTTATATTTAAAATACTTGGGTTGCATTGTGATGGTTGGTTATATCAATTGTCAAATCCGGGAAGAGAAGCAACCTGAAATGACTTACTTAAGTTATCAACAGAAGAGCAAACAGAGAAAAATAGTTGCACATAAATAAACTGCAGTCCAAGAAACTGAAGTAATATAGTTATAATTTCAAATCACTAATAAATATAAAAATTCACAATCTGTTTGAAGTTTATATGCAAGCAGAAGAAAAACAAAACTCATCAACTACATTATTTGCTCTGAGTTTTTTCAGTCAGTAAAATCAACCTTTTGCAGCTGCTTCCCATCTTAGTGTGTGTGCACTGAGAACATGGGATACTTGATCCACTCATTCTTATCAATTACCTTTCATTGGAAAGGACTAAAATCTAAAGGAGCAGTTGACTAGTCTGTGCAGCCCAACACACTGATACACCTGCCTCTTTTAATAGAATCTTCAAAGTAGTATCAGTTGCAGTTTTCAAATCAGTTGTGTTAATGACGTCATCAACTTCAAGGAACATTAGAATGGTGACTTTGGGAGAAATACCAAAAAGTGGCACATGAAAAATAACTAATTTTTGGAGAAACACGTTGGCTGTGTCTACATTGGCAAGATTTTGCGCAAAAGCGGGTGCTACACTGGCCGTGAGTTCTTGCGCAAGAACACTGACGTTCTAATGTGTGAAATCAGTGCTTCTTGCGCAAGAACTATGACGCTCCCGCTCAGGAATAAGCCCTCTTGCAAAGTGTTCTTGCGCAAGAGGCCAGTGTAGACAGGCAACATGAATTTCTTGCACAAGAAAGCCCGATGGTTAAAATGGCCATCAGAACTTCCTTGCACAAGAGAGCGTCTACACTGGCACGGATGCTTTTGTGCAAAAGCACATCTCTTGCGCAAAAGCACATGCCAGCGTTGAGACGCTCTCTTGTTCAAATACTCTAATGCAAAAACTCATGCGTTAAAGAGTATTTGCACAAAATCTTGCCAATGTAGACATAGCCTTTGTCTATAATCCCATGAATGAATGCTGTGTTGTTCAGCTAGAACCTCAATTAGCTGCTGGGTAAATGCCAACTATAACTTTTGAGACTGGCCCAATTTATATGCCCAAAGGAATTAATTACTTTCATAGGATAGTTCTTCCTCTTACATTTTTCTTTTCCAGTTCTGTTGATGTTGCAGATGATTGATTTAAACAGAAAAAAATAAAATTCTAATTAATTAGTGATAGAAATATAGCCGTGTTAGTCTGGGGTAGCTGAAGCAAAATGCAGGACAATGTTAGTCTTTAAAGTGCTACATTGTCCTGCATTTTGCTTTAATTAATTAGTGTATTTCCAGTTCTCATTTTTACACTGATAGTAGGTATTGAGGAAGTTTTAATAGCCATACCCCAGACCAAATTTCTCAGTACATGTGAGAGGGGAAATGGTTCACTTTATATGCAAAAAAGGAAAGGAACTTACCTCTTTTTTTAAGGTAATTTTTAAGCTTAAGGCCAATACCTACAGCAGCTTTGCTAGAGGTCTCTAAACATATGAATCCCTTGTAATTATGCAGCAATTAGGGTTTGATTTCCACACCATGATGGGACGATTCAGATTCTCATCATGAATCTTTTTTGACAAGCCAATATCTAGGAAATTCACTTCTAACTGATCAGCAGCATTTAATTTTAAAACATGGGTTCTACGTTCTCAGCCTCATGCTGTAGGCTTACGTGTTTTAAAGTAATATGCTTTTCTGAAAATTGGATCAGCGGTGTTCCAATTTGGACTGAGTGATCATTTTCTCAAGGATACTAATCTATTCAAAATGACTAAGTATGAGCAGAATTCTATACTATGATGCATGTATATCAATTATAACCCAGAATTAAACTCACAGAAACTGCTAATTTAAGGGCCATAATTAATAAGAATAGATAAGTGTAAAAGCTGACGTGATTCTGAAACCAAAATATATATAAAAATGAGTTAGGTATAAGGTTATTGCAGATCCCGCCTAAAGATTATTGCTATAAAAATATAGAATGTCACTTACCATATCATGGTCGGAAACAGGTCCAAAGCTGGTGACGAAGATGTCAGTCTTCACTTCAGTTACACGCTCTGATGAAGCAAGAAATTATGTGTCTATCAACAGCCTTCATTAGAGCTAACCACCACAAACTCTCACTCAAATAGAACAGTTATTGACTTTGATAAGCTATTCTAAATTGGTGTATAATGTGGAATTGATAATTTACTGCATATAGATGTAATTTCACAGTTAATATTTCCAGCAACTGTTTTTTTATTGAAGTGTCAAAATACAGCTTTTTGAAACATGAGTTTTTATGCCAGGCTTTGAAATCTCTTTGCAGACAGGTCATAGTTCTATTGCTAATTAAAACTTTAAATTAATCTTTGACTAATATACCTATTTGTTTCAACACTATAAAGAGTACTCAATAGCCAATACTGGACTCAGCTCTCATATTATGTGTCCAATATTTCTGGGAAATTCTAATAAAGTTCTCCATTAATTAACCCTCAGATAGCCTTCTGTGTATATGTATGTACGTTAGATATTTATATAATATACAGAGACACAGAGAGAAAAATACAGAATGAATACAGTATTATGTGACATGATATAAAGGTATTTTTATTTCCTGAGGTTATGAGTGCAGTCATTTAGAAACCTCTAAAATGTACATAAAATGCGTGTATGTGTGTGTGCGCGCGCATGATCTAAGAATTATTTTGGGGAAGTTATATGGATTGTGCTATACAGGAGGTGAGATTAGATAATTACAATGGTCCCTTCCCATCTTGAAAATTATTGGACACTATGAATCTATATTCAGTTCTGAATATTAACCATCCTAGACACCAGGCCAATACATTTTGGGGGACTTTCCAAATGTGGAAAGAAGGAAGAATACATTTCTCAGATTTTAAATAAAATAACAGCTGTAAAGTATCAGTTGTTGAGAGAACTGAAATATTAGAAGTAGTCCCCGAGAAAATAGTTTAATTAAACATAGTGGAAGGGAGGTGATCAAAGGTCTATGATAAAGGACGTTTGTCATACGGTTTTATATCAGGAATCAGGGTCTGGGCTAGAAATAGTCTCTGGGTAATTTACAAGTGCAGCTGACCTGTAGTAGGCTGCCTGATGGGCTACCCAGTCAGATTCATTAAAGGAGTCAGCGAACTGACTCGTATGTCCAGCTACAGCAACAGTTGAGCAGCTGTTCAAAGCATTTGACCATCATTGCAATAGTTCCTGCTCCAGCTTTGGATCCAACCTTGTTGCACTCCAAGTAACCTGGTCCTAACCTTTGGCACCAATTCCTGACGGCTGACTCTCACTCTAACTATTGGACATTACTCCTACTTCAAATGGGTATGACCACCCACATCCTTTCACTGTCACATTGAAGCATACTATATAGCTACCACATACATTTTACAAAATACACATATCCCTTCAAAGTTACAAAATAACGCAATAGATAAAATATTAATTTAAAAAATGTCTTTTGAAATTCAAACTGATTTCATTTGATTGGACTCTGGTGGACTCACTTTAAAAAACACAAGTTATTGCGCCTTAGAAAGGTCAGTAGCAAAAATTAATTCATGTTCATCAATAAAAACATTTACAAACTCAAAATCTTTATATATGAAATCAAAAGTTATAAAGAGAAAGCAATAATTGTACATATTAATTTTATTTCTATTGAAAATATCTAAAACTACATATTCAAAATCTTATTTTAAAACATGAAGAATTTTAACAGTTAATTATCAAAATGTAGTATTAGTTGTGATGTAGTTCACCATCACAGGTAATGTAATAAACAAAGTTATTGTATTTTTTTATCAAGTCAGTGTAGAACACTGTGTAGAACATTGACTTGATAAAAAGATACAATAACTTTGTTAATTACATTAGCTGTGATGGTGGACTACATCACAACTAATACTACATTTTGATAATTAACCATTAAATTTCCGTATATTTTAAATAGCAGAAAAGAAAATCTCAAACATATCTTTAAAAAAATGTACAGAAGAAATTTCCTTGAGCTATTCTTTGTTATACAAAGCTGCAACTGAATTTCCTCATGTCTTTTGAATTCTAAAACTTTTATGTTTAGATAGCTGCAGGAGCCAGCAAACAGAGCTGTAAACAGGGGAGTTTGAGTGGGAGTTTGTAAAGGGAGTTTGGATATTGGGACTTGTTTGGGGTTTGTTTTTGCGTTCACCGGACTAATAGGATTTTGGTGAGAAAGTAGATAAAACACAGAGGCAGTAGTGGCCATGGCCCAAGTAGTAGAGAACACAAGGAGGATGATTGGATGTGATAGCTGCGGTATGTACATGATTCTGGAGGGGGTACCTGAAAGGAGTTTTGTTTGAATGAAGTGCTGCCTGATAGAGCTGATGGAAGAAAAGATCCGAGGACTGGAGATGCAGGTGGAAACTCTGGTCGAGTTTAGAAGGGGGGTTGAGCAGATGATGGGGCAAAGGCATGACGTGGCTGAAGGGGAAAGCTTAGATATGCAGATGGAAGCAGGATCAAGGGCCTCAGAGGGGGGACTGCTGGGCAAAGAAAATGGACAGTGGAAGCATGTGACTAAGAGAACTAGGCAGAGGAAAAGATGGGTCAGTGAAGGAAAAATAGAGCTCAAGAACAGGTATGTGGAGTTGGAGAATGAAGAAGGGGTACAGCAGGTAGATAATGAAGATGGAAGGGTAAGGAAGAAGAGACAGTGGCTAGTCCCATAGATAAAGGGGAAGAGTTAATGGAGACAATACCAATAATGAGTATTAGGAGGATACAGGATGGGTTAAAGAGGATTACAAGGGAAAATAGGAATGGCAAGGACTTGCAGCCAGAGGAAGCAAGAGATAGACCAGAGAATTGTACTGTCACTAGGAAAAGGCATGTCTACGTGATTGGGTTTTATACACTAGATATGGCATTCCATCTGTTGTAATAGACATGTGTAGGGCCCATGATTAGTTTCTTAGGTGTAAATGGAGGTATTTATCATGGTAGCAGTGGAGTTCTGTCTGCAGATTTTGTATCTGTTTTTCTGTCAGGGTTAGGTGCCACTTTCAGTTAGTGTGACTAAGTCTTTGGGGAGCTTGCTTCTGATGATGAGGTTGTGGAGGTTGGGGGGGTGTTAGAAGTTCAGGAGAGATTTTTTTCAGGATTCTGCCTGTTCTTAGAGAAGGGCAACTAAGATGTGACAGGATTATGATGATCAATAGATGGCTTAGGCAGTGGTGCTATAAGGAGGGCTTTGGGATGTATGGTCACTGGGAGGCATTTATGGACAGAGGACTGTTCTCTAGAGATGGACTTCACCTAAGTAGGGAGGGAAATAGACTTCTAGGATGGAGGCTGGCTCAACTTATTAAGAGAGCTTTAAACTAGGAATTTGGGGGAGAGGGTTGGGAGATATCCAGGAAATCTCTACATCGGATTTTAACACTGAGAGGGAGGAAAACGAAGTAAGAAAGGATATAGCTGGGGGTAGGAGAACGTACATGAGGAAGGGTAGGGTGGATACTAGTCTAATAGGTCATATTTTAGGTACAACGTCCATGCCAAATGGGGTAAAGAATGTGAGTGAGGCCAAACAGCAAAAATTAAGATGTTTGTACACCAATGCGAGGAGCCTAGGTAACAAAAAGGAGGAACTAGAGCTATTGGTCCAGGAAGTGAAACCAGATATTATAGGAATAACAGAAACATGGTGGAATACTGGGCATGACTGGAGTACAGGTATTGAAGGGTATGTGCTGTTTAGGAAAGACAGAAATAAGGGTAAAGGTGGTGGAGTCGCATTGTATATCAAAGATGAGGTAGATTGTAAAGAAATAAAAAGTGATGGAATGGAGAAGACAGAGTCTGTTTGGGCAAAAATCACATTGGGGAAGAAAACTATCAGATCCTCCCCTGGGATAGTCCTTGGGGTCTGTTATAGACCACCAGGATCCAACTTGGATATGGATAGAGACCTCTTTAATGTTTTTAATGAAGTATAATGATAGAAATGTAGCCGTGTTAGTCTGGTGTAGCTGAAACAAAAAACAGGACTACATAGCACTTTAAAGACTAACAAGATGGTTTATTAGGTGATGAGCTTTCGTGGGCCAGACCCACTTCCTCAGATCAAATAGTGGAAGAAAATTTGTCCTTTTCATATGTGTTAACTTTTTTAAATTGTATCCTTTGGTATGCATGGTTGTGACAATTTTCTTCCAGTATTTGATCTGAGCAAGTGGGTCTGGCCCATGAAAGCTCATCACCTAATAAACCATCTTGTTAGTCTTTAAAGTGTTACTTAGTCCTGTTTTTAATGAAGTAAATACTCATGGAAACTGTGTAATCATGGGAGATTTTAACTTTCCAGATATAAACTGGAGAACAAGTGCTAATTATATTAATAGGGCTCAGATTTTCCTAGATGTGATAGCTGATGAATTCCTTCATCAAGTAGTTGCTGAACCAACAAGGGGGAATGCTATTTTAGATTTGGTTTTGGTGAGTAGCGAAGACCTCATAGATGAAATGGTTGTAGGACACAACCTTGGCTCGAGTGATCATGAGCTAATTCAGTTCAAATTAAATGGAAGGATAAACAAAAATAAATCTGAGACTAGGGTTTTTGATTTCAAAAGGGCTAACTTTAATAAATTAAGGAAATTAATTAGGGAAGTTGATTGGACTAAAGAAATTATGGATCTTAAAGTGGAGGAGGCCTGGAATTATTTTAAGTTAAAGTTACAGAAGCTGTCAGAAGCCTGTATCCCAAGAAAAGGGAAAAAATTTATAGGCAGGTGTGTTAGACCAAGCTGGATGAGCAAGCATCTCAGAGAGGTGATTAAGAAAAAGCAGAAAGCATATAAGGAGTGGAAGATGGGAGGGATTAGTAAAGAAAGCTACCTTATTGAGGTTAGAGCATGAAGGGACAAAGTGAGAGAAGCTAAAAGTCAGGTAGAGTTGGACCTTGCAAAGAGAATTAAAGCCAACAGTAAAAGGTTTTATAGCCATATAAATAGGAAAAAAACAAAAAAAGAAGTAGGACCGCTAATTACTAAGGATG